AGGCCTCACATTTGAGAAATGATTTCATTCTCTTGCTCAGCCACTTGCAAGAAACATCAGATTCAGTCTGGGCTGTGTGCTTTTTTTGACACTGTAACTAACACCAGAAGATACTAACCTTTGCTAGCAAATTGGATAAAAGCCGTAAACATGCACACACCAGATCACTACCTAATTAAATCAGGATAATTCCACTCATCTGACGGAAATGGATCCGTTTTTATTAGTGATGAATACCCAGTATTATCTCAATTACTATGATATAGAAATAACTACAAGAGAGTCTTCATGAGCCTCAAGGATTAGTTTTTTCCATGTCTGCTTTTCACTGAGAAATTTTCTGTGGTAGAGAGGCATACTGCACTTCGGAATTACAGATAAAATCATATTTAAAAATTTAATTGAAAAGTGATCAATTCTATTCCACAAACAAGAAGTTTCATGCCTTACGAGATTAATGGAACAAGCTCTAATGAGTCATGATCAAACCTCTACTGACGTCTATCAGATGTTCTTTGGACAGTGCATGTTTACAAACACAAGACACAGAATGTGCCTGTTGTTTCAGACTACACAGTTCTGTCATGCTCTAATATTACAAAACCTATGATGGCTGCTGTTGCTCAAGTTGAAGATATGTACATTATCCCCCAGTGGTTATGTTCATACAATCATGGCTTTACAATTTCTTCCTTTTCAGGCTACATTTTCAATGCAGTCTATGCAGAAATCTAAAATATTTATCTGTAACTGGAAAACCAAGCTATTTGGGATGCAACAAACAAACACACTTTCTTTAGAGGCAAATATATAGCTTTAATTTTTGTAAAAGCCTCATAATGGAAAGAGGAGCAAAATTTGTTATGGATATGCTGTATCTTTGCCTGTTCCACCATATATGGTATTGACAATGATTGCTCAGTCTAATATTTACTGAATTTATCAGCAGTGAAGTCAGGACCAAATTATGATGAACTTTTCAAGCAACACCGTATTATGTCATGAGTCTCAATAATACACAGAAGTACGTTCTGCATATTCTTCCTCTACCATCAAGGAGGATGGGGCTAGGCTTGGGCGAGGCTGAGCAGCTGCTGCTGCCTTTGCCAAAGGGAGCTTCACAGCACGCACTTCCCCACTCAGGGGCAGCAGGAGCAAAAAGCCCTGACTTCCTACAGACTTCTGTCTCCACCTTGTCCTATCCCCTCTTGACTCTATCTTTCACTGACCCCTCTTAATCTTCCTCCAGTGTCTGATACATAAATCCTTTCCAAGCCATTGGCTTTCAAATACCACTCTGATTCTTTAAGAGTCACCAACCTTCTTGACTTGCAAAGAAAATACCTGTGAGTTATCTGCAGTAACTTACTACTTGTTTAAGACCAGCCAGATTCTCTGGAGGAGGACTCTACCTGCCTAACCCAAAAGAGGATGGCATGGCTTACGACAAAACATTCAAATATCTACTCAAAGAAAAAAGAAACTGTGAAGTTCGTTGTGGTGTTGGTGCCTGGGCACCAGCAGCTGGGACTGCAGGGGCCTCTGTCAGGGGAGATCATGGGCTGTCTCCTGCCAGACACACTCAGCTCCAGCCAGCTCTGTTGGATCCACTGCAGTGTAAGGCTGGGCCTATCAGCCAGGACAGCTGTGCTTCTGTGAAAACATAACTAAGAAAGGGAAGAAAAAGATGGAGGAAAAGAGGAAAAGGGAATAAAAGGAGTGAGAAACAGCACAGGAAACACCAAGGTGAGAGGAGGAAGAAGAGAAGTAAGAGGAGAAAGAGGAGGTACTCCATGGTGGAGCAGATATCCACACTGCAGCCCATGAAGGACCTACACTAGAGCAGGCAGATATTCCTGAGGAAACTGCAGCCTGTGGAAAGGACCTAGGCTGGAGCTGGCAGAAAGTGTGAGGAGGAAGGAGCAGGAGAGAGGAACTGCTATAGCCTGATCACAACCCCTCACACTCCATTCTCCTGTACTGCTCGGGGTGAGGACAGTCAGAAGTGATGTGTAGCCTGCAAAAAGACAGGGGAAGGTGTTATTTGAACATCTGCCTTTTTTCACCACCATCTGAATTAGCAATTCAATATCTATCTTGACTGGTATTAAACTAAGTTGATTTTCTCCAAGATGAGTCTATTTTGCCTATGAT